GAACCGCATGCTTTGAACAAGGCTCATGATCAATTCTGTGTCGAGCCTCACGTTCGGGTGAAAGACCAGAGGGCGGTTTGGCACTAACGACGTCATCCTTAGATTCCATAACGATTGGATAAAAATAATTAGTTGGAGTCTGAAAAATAGCCGGTACTCCACACGATAACGGGTGAATTGTGGTAGTACCAGCTTTAAAGAGTACCAATGGTCGATCTGACACGCATGACCGACCGACAGACTTCATGCAATGAACTTCTCATTTATGCTACAGTGTGTTTGCTTAAAAAGATTTCATCTATTCCGTATGTGACGATCAATGAGATTCTGTTCATAAGTGACGCTTCCTTAATTGTTTGCAATTCACTCGTGAAGCCGCACACATTTAATCTGATTTGGAGGTGTCGTGCGATTTCTTTCGATGCACGACTGTCGGTATCTATATTCAGTACGCGGGGGCATAAAAGTCGCTGAATACCATCCCGGTTATTGTGATTTTTAAGACGAGGTTCGTCTAAGTTGTGCTCATTATTTGAATGCTTTGGAAACTTCTACATGGCGGAATTCTGTTCATTATCATTTCCACAAGATACAAAACTATCCCAGGTATGGCATGACTGGCGTATTTAGAAATAAACAATATATTGATCGAATATACTGGGTGCCGCGCATCTTTCTGCAATGGAGCTCTGGTTAGTCATGCTTCCACTACTTCGGTGATGGACAAGATATTGTCATGATTCGAAGCAATGATACTGGTATGGGTCGTTAGGAAAGCTGAAGTATAATCGGAAGTAAGCCACGATTTTTTTCGCAAGACAGGAACAAGCGATCAAATATTGCGATCTTCAGTGTGAGACTCTGCTGACGCAGCAAAGATTCACGGTGTTTCGTGGACCCAAGCGTGTATATCCGATGCTTGGTTGAAACCGAAGCGCTTTTGGTGCAGACATGAAACCGCGATAGCTTTCATTTAGAGCACTTTATCATTCAGGCTGGCGAGTAGTGATGTTTTCAAGTACCTCTACCACAGCTCGTAAGGCAGAAGATGCATCATTCTCAAAATGAAAGCAAATTTACGAATACATATCACGACTTCTATAGGGTAGATATGCTGAGACATGAATGGGCGACAGTATGCCCTGATCCCATTAAATTATCTTTGACTGGGCATTTAGTGACAGCTAGTAGCTGGTGCCGCTTATGCCAGGGACGCTGAACAATCAGATTGACCGTGTAGAGCTGTCTCCTTGACCGGAGTCGGTGGAGTCTGAACACAACTGTGAAATATGGTCTCCCGTTTAGAACCCGGCGGAGACAGGTGGCTGTATGTCGCAAGTTGAAGGGCCAGGTTCAGAGGGTATAAACGAAATTTTTTTCGTGTCATGGTATAAGGTTACTGCTGAATCAGCACTATTTTGTGGCGCGTCTTTAATGCGAAGCAATGAAGCTCTTCAATTTTGCGACGGAAAACTGTAATTACATGTGTGTGAAGTGACCCGGGTAAGCAAATAAGTGTGGGTATCTCTTAGATACCATCGACAGAAGATCTCGCCAAGCTAATCGACTTATCAAAGGAGAAAATTGCTGAAAGCGCAAGACGTTTTGGTTAAAATTAGTACGCTTAATGTCAGAGGAGGAGCTAAAATTTTTGTACAACATGGACATTGACATTTCCGTGAGCCTCCTTAAAGCACAGATTGTGAAGAGTAAACAGCCGTCTTAAGAAATAATTTTTTTTTATATCGTCTCGGAGACGGTATCGTCTCGGATGAGTGATACGACGAGGGTGCCCTGCTGTATATCCGAAACGAGAATTTGTCATGAGATTGATCTGGTTCCCTAGAGAAAGTATTGTGTCACACAATGATGACCATGAAGTAGAGTAATCTCATTGACGCTTTCTTTCGTGTGAAGCACGGTACCATTTAGTAAAAAAGTGTAGTATCTAATACTTGACACCGACATTCTGTGTTTGAAAGGCTATGATTACTCAAAGAAAGCTTTCTTAGACAATATTCCGGTTCAATTCACTAGTTTTGAAAAGTATATGCTGGCCGAGTGCGCTTGTTCGGTGACATTGACTCAGTTGACATTTACTCGTTTCTGCACATTAAGACAGCAACAACCCGCTAACTATGGCTATAACGTGGTCACACAATGATGGGGACTACACAATATGGTGTGAACACAACAGTGTGGCTACTCTTACACAAAGGGTCAGTACGTAGATGGACTGGCAGTAGTTATATATTTAATCAGATTTTTCTATATAGATAGGAAAGATTATTGATTAAGATATAGGCGGCTTTGCCGCTAATAAAACCGAGAAAGACAGCTATCATTTTTAACCGAAACGTTGTTGTAGTTACTTCTGGCTCTAAGTATAAAACGAAGGTCGCCGACCTTAACTAACCTTTCTCTACGCGATAGAGCTACGGCAGCCCCGCTGCATTTGGAAACAGATGTAGTCAGTCTACACCTGAGCCGTTACGACTGACTCTCTGTGATGTTAAAGCAGTTCTCCTATTTGCCCCGGGGCCTGCACGACGGACTTAATAAGCCGGTGTCTCTGCCTGGCCCTGAGGGCGTGCGA